ATATGGTGGTGATAAAGATAGGCAAGGTCCCTGCTTATGGAGTTTTTATTCCAGTGACTATAGTCAAAGACAGAGGGCCATTATTGATGCCAATTTTGTGGGATCAGTAGTAGAATGACTGCTGGGCTTGAAATCAGAAGATGGTTTGCTTTAAAACACCTTTTTTAAATCCTCACCTGAGGACATTTTTCACTGCTTTTAGAGAGAGAGGGGAAGGGAGAGAGAGAAACGTCACTGTGAGTGAGAAACACCGATCGGTTGCCTCCTATAGATATCCAGATTGGGGATCGTATGCCTCCTGGACCAGGAATCAACCCGCAACCCTTCCATTGTAGGACAATGCTCCAACCAACTGAGGCACACCAACCAGGGCAGAAAATGGTTTAATTTTTTAACTTTCCTTTAAAAGCTGTGTGATCTTGAACTAGTTGTTTCACTCTGAACATCTGTTTCATCATCTGTAAAATGGGAAAACGTTGACCTTATAGTGTTTGGAGGATTAAATGAGATTTATATATACAACACTCAAAATACAGTATGGTATCATTTAAACAATATCCCAAAAATAATCTAAAAAAAATAGAAATTCCTGAAGTCTGTAAGATACAATACCAAGGATATGGGACATCTGGCAACTGTAAGACACCAAGACATTAGATGTCAAAACAAGACTGATGGCAATCTCTGCCTTCTGGAACTCACATTCTTGTGGTAGGAGGTAGACTGTGAATGTTATAACTACATCCATTTTGAGGTATGTTAAGATCACTCATATTAGAAAATAATAGAGGAATAGGGAGCATGGGTGTGCAGCATTAGGAAGCATGGTCAGTAAGGAAGCATCACTGGAGCAAATTTCTGAAGGAGGTGAGAAGATGAAGAAGGGAGCCATGGCTATCTGGGAGAGGAGCATTTATTCCAGGTAGAGACAGTGCCAGGGCAATGACCCTGAGATGGAAGCTTACTGGTATGCTCCAGGTACAGTTCATTGGGTTGAGTGGCTGGAGTCAAGGAGTGGAGGAGAGAAGTGGGAGAAAAGGCCCAGGGGATGGGGACATGGCAGGTGAGAGATCTCACTGATTAGATGTCCACATTCCAACCCCAGTTTCCCCACACTTCCTTCACCCCTCAGTGAGCTAATCAGTCTTTCTCCATGTGATTTGTCTCTTAATTCAAAATTCCTATTACAAAGGATTACAAACAGTAGTAGTATCTTTAACATGCTCAAGTAGATAAACTAAAGGCAAGACCTTATTTTAAAAGAGCCTTGAATACTAATAACATGGAATAATTGTGTTTCCTTACTTAGTATTTCTTTGCAAATATTGTGGTTCGCTATCACCTAATTGAGAACACAGAAGCTATTCGCAGAAGAAAGACAGGAAGCTATGTATCTTCCTTAGTTTTCCAAACTGGCATTTCATGGAAAGATGTGACCGTCTGAGCTAGTGTTTTTCCAATCACCATAATAGGTAGTAAAGAGAATAAAGAACTCTCGTTTATAGCTAAGCGTGCTCTTTTATCGGAATGCCTACTCACAGCAGAAAGATTTATTTTCACAGGCCACATCGCAGTACACCATAGTATGCAGCTCAACTGTGTTTTGGTTATTGCGCCTTCCATTTTACAAGTAACAGGAAGACATTTATGTATAAAAACAAAGAAATTGAATGTTGAGTTTTCAAAAGTCTAGGGCTTTTTGGCTCGTTCCTCTGAGTTTTTCCCAGTGTGGACATGTTGAGAAACTCTCTGGGAGTGGAAAGATAGTCTCAGCTCTCTTCAAAGGTTGAATTGTGCAGCTGTGACCATTTTTAAATGTTTACTTTATCATGACATGTCAGGCACACTCTTAGGACTGAGATGAGCACCAGCCAGTTAATTCTAGCAAAAATGTCATCTGATAACTAAAGGCAGTAGGTTCCATTTTCAAGGGGAAAATTGTTCTTTGGACTCTGGCACCAGCATCTAGTTCTTATCACCTGAAAAGCCAGTTATTAACCCAAAAGGCCAGGGTCAGATGATAAATTCAAGGCTCCCCATCCTCAGCCTACAGAGACAGTCCAATTGCAGTCCAATTGGTCCAATCACAGTTATAGGCAGCCCTGGCTGGTGTGGCTCAATGTATTGAATGCCAGCCTGTGAACCAAAAGGTTGCTGGTTCGATTCCCAGTCAGGGCACATGCCTGGGTTGTGGGCCAGATCCCCAGTTGGGGGCATGTGAGAGGCAAACACACATTGGTGTTTCTCTCCCTCTCTTTCTCCCACCCTTCCCATCTGTCTAAAAATAAATAAATAAAATCTTTTTTAAAAAGTTATAGGCAAATGGCTAAAGAGAAGCTGAGAGATGATGTGATCTCAGGCAGCAAGATCAACACTAGGATCATAAGGGTATCTTATGAGGATGCCCTTAGTGAACAACTCACCCCTGCACACCCAGATTTCCTCTAGGAAAGAAGCAATGTGTTGCTTCTTTCATTTGTTTAAGATTGTAAAGGTATGACCTAGTTGCTAATAAAACTTTGTAATCACAGGTTGCATTAATGGAAATTTCAAGATCCAGATTGAACCAGCAACCAGCATATCAGCACTCAGCACAGATAAGACTGGTTTAGAATTATTTACTGGTGTTGAATTCTGGTCCAGCATATTAAGATGGGCACTGATGTCTTGGATAAGAACTGGAGGAAGATATCCAAGTGGTGAGGTGTCACATAAGGGACAGCTGAGGAAATGAGGGATGTTTGGCCTGGAGAAGGGAAGTCTTGGGTGTGGTTTCAGGAACATGAAAGGTCACCTGAGGCACATTGCTTGGACTTATTCTGGGGATCTTCAGAAGAAGATGTGGAAATGACATCTGCTCGATTTCAGCCTTGTGATAGAGCTGCATTTCCCAACATGCAGCATATCCTGCCTGAATGTTTCAGTGCTGTTTCCTCTCATGCAGTTCCATGCCTCCATGGAGGGGATAGGGACCATGTTTTGTTGTCTTTCTGTCTCTCCTGGTCTCCCCTGTCATGCTTATACATTCCTCTACATAGTCCCATGTGTGCCAGTCTTTACTGCATCTTCTGAAATACAAACTTGTCCCATGTGCTTCTTATCATTATCATTCTTGACAGTTACCCAGAGTTAAGAGATACCATGACCCCTAGCACCATGATCCTCACCAAGAGTGACCAATCTGAGCTGATGTGTATGAGGAGGTCAGAGGGGCCACTGAACTGGGCATCAAAGATAACATTGTACTAATCCCTAACCATATTAGCATTTACCACTGCTAGGCGCTGTGCTCAATGTCATGCATGCACTTACTTATTTAATCCTCAAAGTAATTGAGGAGATGGATAATTTTATTATCATTTTATAGATGAGGCAACTGGGAGTCAGAGAGGTTAATAACTTGTCTGAGAAACTCTAAGCAGTCTGACAAATCTGTAGTATCCCCCAATAAATCCAGAATTTGTTGAAAGGGGAAAGATTGAGTGTGTGCACAAAAGTGGACAGGACACAGTGGTAGAGGGGATCTGTGCCAGGAAAAGTGTGTTCTAGAAGGGAATGGAAGGAGGGAGTAAAGAATGAGTAAAGATAAATCCTGTGGTAGCAGAAAGGGCAACATGGACAGATGGTCTGACGCATCACCCTTTGTCCAATTTTGTTTCCTTTAGTTAAAATTTGCTTTTTCCTGATTTTTTTAATTCAGCATTTAAAACTGCAGAACTCATGCCCTGGCCGGTGTGGCTCAGTTGACTGGAATGTTGTCCCATACACTACAAAGTTGTATGTTTGATTCCTGGTCAGAGCACACACTTAGGTTGCAGGTTCAATCCCTGTTTGGGGCATGTACTGGAGGCAACCAATCAATGTTTATCTCTGGCATTGATGTTTCTCTCTCTTCCTTCTTCTCTCCCTTTCTGTCTCTCTAAAAAGGAATGAAAAAAGTGTCCTTGGGTGAGTATAAAAAATAATGTAAACTATGCAGAATGGCTGAGTTGTTATATATACTCTGTAACGGTTGTGTTAAATCTATCCCAGCTTATGTTAAATTTGTAGATATGGCATACCCTCAGCATTGTTAAGTGAGCCTTTTCTCTATTTTTCCCATTCCAGTTGTCCTTCTTAAAAATAAGACTTCAGTTCATTTCCAAACCAGTATACATGGCTGTCTCCCTTTGTTTTGCTTAGGAATAGGTATGCTATTGGCAGGGAAAACAGAAAGATGCTTCAGCTCGATCCCCTTTCTCTTCCCTGATCATATTAACTGCCTCCAGAGTTGGATAGATGTAAATGCTGAGGCTCAGAGAGCAGAGCCATTGACAAATATTTTGGTAAAGGAATCTATAGTATTTTACTATTTTTCATACAGATGGAAATGATTCCTATGCCCCAAGCTTGGATATTTATTTGGAATAAAAGGCAGGAAGAGAGGCCACCTACTCTGTGGCTTCAATTTTTGTGTATTTAAATTTAAATATATAATTTAATCTGCTTATGCTGGAATTTCTCCATTTGCCTATCTAAATCTACTCTCCACCTGTACCATGGGCTTCATGGGCTGCATTACCCAGGTTCCTCTTACTCTCTGGATTACAGTTGGGTTTATCCCATGGGAGAAACAAGCAGACGAGTAGCAAGTAGGAAGAGAGATGCTCCAGGAAGGCAGTTCCTTCATTCCCTCCCTGTGGTTTGGTAGCAACTCTGCTTCCCCGCTTCATAGCTTTTGCTGGGTGGAACCTCCTTCAGCTCTCACTGGCTTCTAGAGACTGCTGCTCCTCCTCCCTTGTCTCTTCCGGCCTATGAGTGATAACAGCTTATAAGGGATCCTTCACTATCCCTTGTTGATTCCCTAAACCTCACTGCTCTGTAAACATTCCTTTCGCTCAATGGCTCTCAGCTGCCCTTTTGAGTGTGCCATCTCTTTCTGCTGGAATCCTCGCTGATATATTTGACTCTCGGCAGAATTTAAAAAATGAAACACGTGAACTGCAAAATTAAACCACCCAAACTGACCTTTAATAGTACATACATTTTACAGTAAATAAAAAAATATAATTCAAGAAAATTCATTTATAATAAAAAAGTCACACAATCTACCAGAAAAAAAAAAGAGTAGCTTTCTGAAATAAAAATTAATGCCCAATACATGGCCTTGGTCTCATGTATAAATTAGACTATGGCTTTTGGGAATTGCTAAAATAATATTTATTTCTATAGTGTATTTCATTTCAGGTGATCAAAATGCTTTGTAAATTTTTTAAAAAATCAATTATAATGCTGTTAGTGATTGGAGGTATGTTATAAATGTGCACTCAGAAAGGAAATCCAGTGGAGTTAAGTGTTTGATGAAGGCAGAATAAAGTCATCAAATATTCAAGCTGCAACACCACCTGTATATAGGAGGCATTTTAAGTCCACATATACAGATCAGTCATTTGCAGATGAGATTGCTTCTCTATCTGTGAACAGCTCAAGTAGGGATTCTTCTCAAATTCAGAAAACCATTAGATTGGCTTAAACTATTTGGCTAAGTGAAATAAATAACCTTCTGCTTAAGTTTGAACCAATTGTCTTAGCCTGACTAAGTGATCAAATTCTACTTGTGGCCTCTGCCAGCTCAGTGATTTGGCATTGGTGCTGTTTCTAGAGTTTTGGTCTGGCTCTTGGTTATTGTGGGTTCAAACCACTTTGAGATTGGTGTGTTCTGGAGAGGCTTTCTATAGCTTCTAAGCAAACTCAGGTCCCTATAGGATCTTTGCAGAGTTGAGGCCATAATTTAGTACCAGAATTTCCCAGTTCTTTCTCGGAAAGATGATCTGGGGCCACAGTGAACCATCCAGGAATAATTTGGCTCAGAACAGACTGCTTATGCCCATTTCTGGACACCTAAAGTTAGGGCTGGCATTTTGAGGTGAATATCTGTGATAGTTTCTTTATCCGTTTTCATTCCACTGACTGTCAGGGGCAAAGAATAAAATCTAGGTCTTCTTTCATCACAATATAGCAGGCAGAGTTCTGTGTTTTCTTCTTTAACTGAAAATTCCCAGTGAACTTAAACAAGTATGTGATGAGATGGGATTAAAGAAAATAGTCACATTATCCAATCCTAGTAATTTTTTTCTGTTACCTTCAAATCACCATTCATAGTAGGTGATTGAATCTTACATAGGATTTTTATTTTCAGTTCCTTCTATGTATATATCAGTGCAAACAAAATAGTCATTTAACACAGTGCAAGAAACAGGAATAAACTAAGAAACAAAGCTCTAGAGAGCTACCAGTTCCTTAATAAATGGATTAAACTGTTATATTTTGTTCTCACTAAAATAGCAAACTCACAAGTATGCTATTTTAAGTTCTCAGATATTATTCCAGATTTTTGGAGGGTGGTGAGGTGGGGTGAAGGATTATAAATAACAGTTTCATTTGGAGGAAAAAAGTCATGTGATAAAAAAATCAATCTTCCACATTCAAAGTAACCTCACAATGTTTGTATACAAATCACCCACAAGCTTAATTAGTTCCATTTAGAACAATTTCTTAACTTTAGACAGAGAAAATTTACTTACATGTCCAGATCTTAGTTAAGTTAAATTTTGCCTGGTTTGTTTAAATTGGTAGAAAAGCAAATCATTTATTTATTCTTTTTAAAATAAGAGCTGATTGGACATAGATTGTGTCAAAACACACTGATGCCTAGAATGGTTTGGAAAAACTCTTAGTGATCATCTAGTTTGATAACTACTTATAAGAAATGGTTTTACGTAAGCAACTCAATGAGACTGGAAAAAACAAACATCCCCCTTTTTTTTATATAATGGCTATCCTGTAATAATACTCACTGAAAAAAAAATAAGGTGGTTCTACTGTTTTAAAGATCACATTGGGAAGAAAAGAATCCTGTAGTACCAAGTATTTTACACTCTAATTTGCTATGCAACCATAATTTAAAAACCTGCCAAGTTACTTTTTCTAATTATATATTATTGAAAAAACATTATATCTACACTAACTATAAGATGTTATTTGGGGGATTCATTAAGTACTATTCCATTTTCAAATTTTTGTTTCATAGTTTATTTTTATAACATTTCAGATGAGTTTACACAGTAACTAGGATAAGATTACACAGTGCAAACTCACTGAAATATTTTGATGCTGAGTTTACACCATGTCAAGCATTTTGATTTAGAAATATATAAAGATATGACTCATTGTTACATGATTTCCTATATAGTATTAGTCAACCCGTGCTTCCTGGATAAAAATATAGGCAGATGAGTTTTGCTACAACACAATCCTCTTATAAAGTAGATGTTAGTTATGGCCACAACATCAGCATTAAAGTGGTTCCAGTGTATCTGAAGAATTAACTAGGTTTTTCAGTTTTTAACCCTAATACCTGGCTTCAGACAGCCATATATATACCTCCATTGGAAACAGAATGAAGAGTACTAATTAGAATTAACTCTCTTAATAGCCTATTATTTCTTGTTGAGAGGAAAATTCTTAAAAGTTTTCTTGATTAGTAGTAGCATAATAGGCATTATAAAATAAATAATCTGACACTTTGAGACACAGCTTCCAGAGGACTAGTGAAAAAGCTGAGCCTACCCTTCTATGAGTAATACTGTAGCCATGAGAGAGTACTCCCACATACACAAACATTACAGTGCAAAGTGCCTGTGATTTTCAAACCTACTGTCCAAAGAAAGGGTCTGTGAAGCAATCACGGAACACGAGGCTTGGTTGCTTCAACATCTTGACTTCCTAGAGAATACATATGAAGTTTTGTCTGGTCTGACTGTACACCGTGTGTTTATAACATCAGTAACACAAAAGATTAAAATAGAAAACACACAGTAACTATTTCAGATTTTAAACAAATTACAAAACCACATGCTTTCTCATTCAGCAGGAAAGCTTAAATCAAAAGGCAACTAGATCTTTAATGCCGTTGGGTGTTCCTCTAAAGGCCACGCAGCATGTTGGAGGGGTAGCTTTTATAGCTCCTTCTGACACCTTCCAGGAAGTGCCTTGTCAGCACATCTGTAGCCTAAACCACTGCTAAAATGTTGGTTTACTTACTCTGTTTTATTAGGGTAGCTTCAGTTTGTTTATAAACTAACTTTTTTCATTTCTCCAAGGAAGCCTTTCAAAACGATCTTCCAGATGCTAGCTAACTAAGCACTTCTTAGCTATTGTCCACAAAGGTCAGTCTATTTACTGGCATTTGACCGTGTAGAACAGGAAGTTTCTGTTGCATCTTGTGCTCTTAACGAAATCCGACAACAGAGGACTGAACGCATTAGTCTCAAAACAGAGGGCCTCAGGATGGCAAAGACCCAAGGGTCGATTATTGAATTAATTGATAAAAATCTAAGCGCTTGGAGGTCCCACTTTTCTTTTCGGGAAGACTTTTCATTCATATATGCAAAAATCTGTAAGAAGCAAAAGGGGGAAATGATGTTAGTTTTACATTGTGGCAGTGGACAGGCTTAGACCGTATGCAATTATTCAATATTTAAAAACGTGTTTTGTTTGTGGTGGTGGTGAAAGGGGAATAGCAAAATCTCATACTTCTACATGTTTCTTCCTTACAAAAACTCTGAAACATAAGTATTATCTCTGTTTGGCAGATGAAGAAGTGAACTTTAGGGAAGTTAATAATAACATGCTCTGTTTACTTCCAAATACTTAATTTGACTTAATTATTGCAATTCAGCATGAGAGGGTACACAAGAGAGCCCGGCTTCTGGCCACTGGACTGCCTGGGTTTGAATCAGGCTCCATATATAGCTTTGGGACCATAAGTAAAAAAACTAACCTCTTAGTGCTTCAGTTACATCTATAAAACAGGTGATGACAACAATACCTCCTTCTTGGTTGGGAGGATGAAAGGAAGCAATATGTTGAAGCTACTGGAAACAGTGCTGCTCCCTTAACAAGTGCCCCACAATGTAAGTTATTATCTCCATTTTACCAATGAGAACACTTGGGTGCAGAGAAGTTAGGTTACTTGCCCAAGTTCTCGGGGCTGTTTCGTGGACCCCGGGGAGCTGGAGTCAAGACACAAGTCCCAGCTCCCTCGACAACAGTGCTTTGCTCACCAGGTGCTCCATCCCGGTCGCCTACATTAGAGCAAAGGTCTTCAGAGCAATGCCTTAAACACTGAAAAGCTGACACATCTTTACATGTTGACCAGTGTTCTCAAACTGGTATACCAGCTCTCATTGGATTCCTTAGATGTTAGAGAGCAACACAATTTTTTGGTCAGATTTAAAGGAATGGAACTGTACGTGCTTGATAAAGATCAAACACTGCCACCCAGTTTACAGAAAAAAGGAAAACAGATGTAAACCACACCCAGTCACTTAAGATGTTCTTTATAATGCTCCTGGGACTTTCTTAACAACAATAGCCCCAGAGTTAGAAAGCTAATCCTTCTTTCCTCCACTCTTCTCCACCAGAAGGAATGTTTTCTTTCCTTCTCTCCTGCTTGCTCTGTAGGCATCTGACAACTGGATATACAAAGCAATTTGCAGGGAGGCAAAAGAGTAGGCATCTTCCAGTTGCTTATGTTAGGACAATAGCAGCAAGGTCTGGCAGCCACAGGTGTTTATGCCAGAGAATCTTGGCATAGGGAATGGAGAAAAGACTTGGCAGATGAGTAAGGAAAAAGAAGAATCGATGGTGGATTTTCCAGATTATAGAGAGAAGAGAAAGTTAGGTAGGCAATAATTTTCTTGGCAGCTAAACTATTTTGAATGAGAAATATACAGGACTTGTATGGTGTCTTTTAAGGAGAGATTTTAGAGCTTAGAAACTTAGGATACCATTGTATATAAGTTTAGTTGAAGAAAATATATTAGTCACCACACACACACACACACACACTACTGAGCACTCTGTAGCAGAAAAGGCTCAGTTTATAATCTAGTGTCCAAAGAATACAATAACACTGAACTGGCTAGCCAAGTGGGCAGTGTAGAAAGGGCTCAGGATTCCTGTGTCACAGCTTCACGCATGAAAATGAGTCAGGTTTTCAGTTCCTGATCTCCTTGGAGTGTGACAGAGCAATGAGAAGTGAAAAATGGTTTTAGTGGATGAAGCAATTCTGTACTATTTGTTTCCTTTCCATTTCATCTAACATGTTGGGTGATTTTTGAAAATGGTTAACATTTCAGGAGCTGGCCAATATTTTGCGGAAAACAGTTTTTTCTTTTACACTTAGAAGACAGATCCACTGCAGCAGCCCTTCTACTGAAGTTCTTGATGTAAGCTTTGTCGTCTCCTTCTTCTCCTACCTCCTCATTTTTTAAAAAAAAATTGGTTCTTGTCTTTTGCCCTGAGTTCACCATTTTCATCTTGTGGACCCTGTTTCTTTTAAATTGTTATAAAAGATATGTAACAAAATTTACCATTTTAACCATTTCAACCATTTAACCAATGGTACAATTCAGTGCCATTAAGTGCACTAACATTGTTGTGTAATTGTATTGTTTATATATTTTTTATTTTGTATACATTATGATGCTTTGACATCCTAAAAACCTTTCTGCTGTGTAGAGACTACCCCTTCAGGGACAGCCAATTTTTGGAGACAGCCGGAGGCTCACCCAGCAGCAATCCTTTGATATGCAAACTAAGCAACCCAGAGCCTCCACCTGGTCCATTCCCCGGGAAGCAACAGTCCTCTCTCTGCCTTAATCTTCCCAGGGCCTGGTACCAGGCAACTAGAGAGCAGAACTACAGCTTCGAGCCTGCTGAAATGATTTTAATAGCCAGTCCTACACTGGTCACCCTGCCTTGCTTCGCTTTTCCCTTGGAAACTCCATTAAGGGCTGTGGCCCAGGCTTCCCCCAGCAACTGCTGCTGTCTGGTGACTTGGATTTGCACTTTCCCATGTGGTCCTTGGTTTTGTGTGGTCCTTCTTGTTTCTAGGACTTGTGAGTATGACAAATTTGTTTTCTTGAGACTCTCCTGTCTTCTCTTGTGGCCACACCTGACTGACCATCACATAAAAGAACAGAACAGCAACCATCACCACCATCTACTTCCAGAACTCTCTCCATCTTCCCAAATTGAAACTCTACCTAAGTAACAATAACTCTCCATTTTCCTCCCCCTCCAGCCAATCCTGGTTTTTCATTAAAGGCTGACACATGCACAAAGTCAATTAATTATTGTTTTAATGATATTCTGCTTCAGAGGCTGATAGAATTTATACATATTTTTGTACACTTACTAATACATTTGCTGTAAGAAAAATACCAAATGCTAATTTAAGTGAGTCAAGTGAGTTTTAATTCCTTAGGCCAGGCTCTCTCTGCAGGGCTTTACTAAGACTATGATACCTACAAAGTGGCACAGGTGAAAATAAGTGGTTTTTTAAAAAAATATTTTATAGAATCCTTGCAGCCTCCCACAGAAAATTTCATGTTGGCACTGACTGGATGCTAGTTGTTTGAGATACTTTCCTACCAGCAGTATAACCACATAGTGGTTTCAGAATTTTAAAGCAAATGAGAACTTTATCTAGCAGCTCGTTGAAATTAACCAAGGAGCATTAAAAGTATTCTGATGGCTTGCTCCCTCCCTCAGAGACTTTGATTAATTAAATCTGGGGTGTAACATGTGTTTTGGGTTTTTATTCCCACCCCACCATGGGATTCTAATGCCTGAAATAAAAACTAAAGACCCATTTATACCTGGCCAATCAAACAAACTTTGAGCTTCCAGAATTCCTGATCATTAACATACAATCTGATTTTCCCTTGGAAATTGAATCCTATGGAGATAGCATCTAATATTTACTAAATACCTATGTGTGCCAGGCACGGTGCTAAGCAACTTACAAGTCTTATTCTATTAATCCTTACTTGAACCTGCAAAATATTAGGATTCCCATTTTAGTAAGGAGGAAACCAAGGCTTATAGGGGTGTCCAACCTTTTGGAGTGTCTGGGCCACACTGGGAGAAGAGCTGTCCTGAGCCACACATTAAATATATTGCGACACGTGATCACAAAAAGAATCTCATAATGTTTTAAGTAAATTTATGATTTTCATGTTGGACCACATTCATAGCCATTCTAAGCCATATGTGGCCCGCAGGCCACAGGTTGGACACCCCCAGAGAAGATTAGTTACCTTGTCCCAAATCATGGCCCAGGTAAGTAAGGAAGCAACGGAGTCACGCTCAAGCAGTGGGGCCCAAATTTTCCTTTCAGCCACTACTCTGTTGCAAGCCTGTGATGTAAAGTCTCATATAAAATTCACCACTGACTAGGTTTGTAGGAGACAGTTTTTTGAAGGTGTCAGCAAGGTTTACGGGCAACACTGTTCCTGTTAAGAACCATGGCTGCGTCTAAGTAGCTACTTGGCTTTCTCAGTGCTTTTCTTTCTCCCACTTCCCACATCTAAATTGCAGGCAGAGAATGTTACATGTTTATCTCCCTTGTGAAAGACACTCGTAAGTATCCTGGTTATAGGCTTTGTGCAATTCATTCTTTAAAGACAAATTTCATGGGGGTACTTGATATTCTAAAGAAATTCTTCCCCCAAACCATAGGTGATTTGTGGTAGAGGGAACAGGAGCCCATGTCCCTTCAGAAGGAAAGACTAGGGCATAGATGTGGCTCCGGTACTAAAGAGGGCCCCCTGCCTTGTGCTCCAGGTGATCCCAGAGCCAGACACAAAACAGTTGATGCTAAGATTTAGGACTCTGGGCCTGTATATCCAGGGTGGTGGCTCTAAACCCTCTGAGAAAATGTTGGATGCCATGAACCATCTCCCCAGAGCTCACATAAACACAAGCTTTTGGAAATGATTTCAGAGTGGCCAGGCGCTGTCCATGGAGTGCAGGTATGCAGGAGGTGTCAGCCTGCCCCGAATGCACTTCCCTGTCCTTGGCCCATCCCGTCACTCATATGTCCCAACTCTGGAAGTCTTAAGTCTAGTTTCCTGTTAGAGGGAAGCAATTTTAGGTAGCAAAATGGTTTGAGAAAAATGAAGCTTGGTAGACCTTAATATAGTTTGAGGCACAAGGAAGGTGAGCTCAAGATAAGGATGGGGAGTGGTGATGAGAAACTTCACAAGGGAGGACAGGAGGAGCCATGGAAACTAAACAGATCAAGTTGCAGATTAACTAAGTCTTAAGCCTTAAGGTGGAAAGAGACTTGTCAGATTGTCTTCCTGAAACACTGTGTCTTCAGAGACCAATCACATACCATTTCTGTTCTTTAAAAAAAAACAAAAACTTAATGCTGTGATGGCCTCTTGTAATGCCAAAAAAGAAATATACCATCCCTAAGCTGTTTTTCTTTAAACTGATGTCTTAATCATCAGAAACAGCAGTGATGATCAACACTTCCAAGAGTGGAGACATTAATGTACAACTTCTCTTTTGGGGAAAGGACTATGGTTCTTGCTGCTTAAAT